GTCCGCTGCATCGGCAGGCGGACTCTCAACCACTGCACCACCAGGGAAGCCCCAGTAGTAGGTTTTTATATCTTTCTATCTGATTTCCATCTCTATCTACAGCTCTCTATCCATATCTCTGTTTCTATCCATTGATATATCTATGGAGATACATATAAAGAAGAAGAAATAGCCCATAATTCCCATCTCCCAGAGAGCTCTTGCATGTATGTGCTTAGAAAATTCAAACTACAAAAAGATACTCAATAAAAATGGAAAGTCTCCTCCCTGCCTGGTTTCCTTCCTGAAAACATTTTTGGCACATACAGTATATATATGTGTATATTCTAAAAATTCACGCAAAATGGATCCTACTATACACTCTTCTGCACCTCCCCGCCCCCCTGCCATAGTAAACCTAGGAGAGTGCTCCATATTGGCACAGGGAGGTCTACCTCACTCTTTTTTTTTTTTTTTTTTTTTTGGTACGCGGGCCTCTCACTGTTGCGGCCTCTCCCGTTGCGGAGCACAGGCTCCGGACACGCAGGCTCAGCGGCCATGGCTCACGGGCCCAGCCGCTCCGCGGCACGTGGGATCTTCCCGGACCGGGGCACGAACCCGTGTCCCCTGCATCGGCAGGCGGACTCTCAACCACTGCGCCACCAGGGAAGCCCTACCTCACTCATTTTAAGGGTCCATAGTGCGCAGATGATAATTTATTTAACCAATGAAGGATATTTAGTCTGCTTCCATTTTTTTAAACTATTACCATCACTGCTACAATCAACATCATCGTATAAACATCTTTATGCGAAGTGATGTTCTGGGACTATATCCAGAAGGGATATATCTGGCAGTGGGAATGCTGAGACAAAAGGTATAGGCATTTTCAATATGCATTTTGATAGATATTATCAAACTGCCCTCCCAAAAGGTTGTACCAATTTGTACTTCCGCCAGCAATGTATGAGAGTGTTCTTTCCCTCACAGACTCACAGGCACTGGGTGTCATCAAAGTCTTTCGCTTTTGTCAATTAAATGGTATTCTATTGTCACTTTGATTTGTATTTCTTTAAGAATAAAGTTGAGCATCTTTTCACATTTATGGACCATTTGTGTTGATCTTAGTGAATTGTCTCTTTACGTCTTTTGCCCATTTTTTCCCCGTTTTCCTTATTTCTGTCTTACTCGACTTTTAAAAGCTTGTGGTAAAAGGACATTCCCCCTTTCTCTGACATACGTGCTATACTTGTCATACATCTTTTGAGTTTGTATATGGTATTGTTCCCATATAGATGTTTTTTATTTAACTGAGTCAGAGTTATCAATCTTTTTCTTCATGACTTCTGACTCTTACATCAAAAGGCCCCTTTCCTCCCTGGGATGATAAATGAATTCAGATAGGTTTCCTTCTAGATCTTTTATGGTTTCACCTTTAAACCTCGATCCATTTGGAATTTTATTTTAGTGTAACAGTGAGGTTCTTCAGTTTAATTCCCCCCATTTATTAAACAATCTTCGTCTTCTTTACTGTTTTGAAGCACCAGCTTTATAGCAAACTAAATTCCCATCTTGTTTATGGAAATTAGAGGGTCCATTTCTGGACTATTCTGTTCCACTGTTCCGTCTTTCCCATCTCTGGTGTCTTACCGTTTTAGTGATGGCTGCTTCGTAGTGTGGGCTAGTATCTGCAAAGGCTAGTTTCCCTTATTGTTCTTTTCCAGAATCCTCCTAGCTATCTAGCTATCTTTGCATGTTTATTTTTACAAATAAACTCTACTATCATTTTGTGAAGTGTCGAAATTGAGGTTGCCTTGAATTTATAGATTAACTTAGGGAGAAATGACATCTTCATAATATTGAGGCTTATTTCCAGAGACCGCCATTTACTTAAATCTTTTTTACGTCCCTCAGTAGAGACTTTTTCCGTGTAAGTCTTTTTAAGTTTATATCTAGGTATTTTATCTTGTTGGTTGTTATTATACAGACTCTTTATACCTAACAGGCTCCCCTGGTGATTATTATGTGCATTGAGAACCAATGATTTAGGGCAAGGATACTGATTCATTTGGTTTGGAGTGGGACCTGGGCATTAGCATTAAAAAATCTTCACGGGCTTCCCTGGTGGCGCAGTGGTTGGGAGTCCCCCTGCCGATGCGGGGGACACGGGTTCATGCCCCGGTCCAGGAGGATCCCACATGCCGCGGAGCGGCTGGGCCCGTGGGCCATGGCCGCTGGGCCTGCACGTCTGGAGCCTGTGCTCTGCAACGGGAGAGGCCACAACAGTGAGAGGCCCGCGTACAGCAAGAAAAAAAAAAAGTCTCCAGATGATTCTAATATTCTAATGTGCAAACAGGTTTGAGAAACTGATTTATGGAGTTATTCTGACGCCAAGGAAGACTCCAAATAAATTCATGACCCTACATTAAATTCTTTGACCTTCCTTACCCCCCATGCAGCCCAGAGTCACTGCCATGCTGTCCACACCTCCAGCCCGCCTCAGTGGCACTTTACCTTGGTCTTTGCTTCTACCACAAGGGCCACATCTTCAAGACGGATCCCAAATTCTCCATCCTGATAGTAACCAGGTTCTGGGAGACACAAGAGATCCTGTTGACATTAGGTAGGGGAGGGGACCCAAGCCCAGGTTTCCTACGCTGACTGAGGAGTGGCTGGAGGGCCCGGCTGCTCCCCGCTGTTGGCTTGGGCAGACCCAGCACCTGTTAGATGCTCCGTGGCTACTCAGAGGCCACTGCCAGACTTCAGATTCCCCACCCTCCCTTGTAACCCAGCAGGGAAGACTTAAGAGCCCACTTGGGTCCTGGAGGCACTCCCCTCTCCCTGTGTGCCACTGTCCTGTTACCCCGGCACCTGAATGGAGACTCTGGAGTTTGGATGTACAGCTGGAAACCAACTCCCATGGGCAAAGTGAGGGTACGGGCTGAAAGGGCTTGGGGTTAGAGTGGGACAACCCACTCGGGGCTGGAAGTGGGGAGGTGAGGGAGTGCAGCGGTGGAGCCGGGGTGGGCCTGTGTGGGGTTGTGCTCCTTGAAGGCTGGCGTTCCCTAGACTGTGGTTCTGGAGGAGCTCCGAGAGCCATACCGATGGAAGTGAACATGCCCTTGGCCATGGCAATGTTGCCAGACTGGAATCCCACTGGCCCTGGAAAGGGAGAGTCAGGGACAGTGTCAGCTCTCCGGCACTCACCAGCTTGGAAACTAGCAGGTTCTGGGGAAGAGCAGGTAACTGGGATCCCTAGCAGCGTGTGTCCACCGCATCACCATCTACCTGCGACTGGTACAGACCAGATTGGCTCTGGCTTTTATTTCTCTGGGGTCTATGCCAGTCAGCCACTGGGCCTTGACCTGCCTATCCTCTCTCTGAGGCCGTCCTAAATGCCAGTGGAGTGGCCAGCTGCCAGCCTTTCTCACTTACCCTGTGGAGCACCAACTCCCCACGAGCTGGGTAACCTTGCATGGGTCACTGCACCTCTGTGGGTCCTGGTCATTTCCACACCTGTGAAACGCTCCACCTCTTTCATAAGAGGGGGGACTCCAGGGGAGTGCTGAGGAGATACCTACATTCGTGCACACACAGGAAGTTGCCAATGCCGTGGCCTGTCCCATGACCATAATTGAGGCCAACATCCCACAGGGCTCTGCGGGCAAAGGCCTCCACCATTCGCCCTGGAAGAGAGATGACCTCTGGTCAGCTGGCTGGACCCCAGACTATTGGCTTTGCCCCTTCCTGCTCTCTTGTTCCAGACCAACCACCAGGATGGTGCCTGAGGAGAGGGCCCCCTGAGAGGCACGTAACCATGCCCTATCTCCAGTATACTGTATGTTGTACCCACTACCTGGACCTCCCCATCTGTGAAGACACTTGCTTCCTCCAGGAATCCTCCCATGACCGCTGCAGCCTACACTGACCGCCCCCACCTCTGAGCTCCGGCTCCAGCTCCTGAGTTGGACTAGGAGACAGGAGGCCTGGGCTCAAGGCCTGGCTCTCCCACTAACCCTCTGTGTGACCTTGGGCAAGTCACTTTCTCTCTCTGGGCTGGATTTTATCTATACAGTGGACGGGATGATGATATAATCCCTGCCCCACTAGCCTCCCAGGGTCTGAGTGCAGTGAAATCAGGGCCTGAGGTTCTGGGTCCAGCCTGGTTTGCAAAACCCACCTGATGTAGCAGCTGGGAAGACGAGTCTGGAGAGATCAATGTTTCCTATCAACACGCGGGTGTACGCCTCCTGATGGGGAGAGGGCGAGGGAATGCGGTGTGTGGGCCCAGGCCTGGGTTGGGGGATGTTCGGGGGAAGTGCATGCTCATGCGTGGTCACCCAGGTTCTGGAGGATGGCTGGAGGAGACCGAGGGGGACCTGCTCAAAGCTGGGGCTTGGTCCATGCGGTTCCCTTTGGCTGGTCCACAGGGACGCTCGTAGGTGGGGGTGAGCTGAGGCCACGACAGTAGGGATTGGGGAGGCAAACTCCCTGGGCTGGAATCCTGACATGGCCACTCACAAATTTGACCTTGGGCAAGCGATTTTAACCGCTCTGTGCCTCAGTTTCCTGGTCTGTAATGGGACGGTCATAGTACCAGCTCATAAGGTTGCTGGGAGGCCTAGGTAGACTCGTGCATGTCGGGTGCTCCCGACAGACTAAATGCTCAAATAGAGGTCAGCACCCTTCATTGCCATGATCATGATCACCCTTTAGTTTTCTTAAGGCCTTATGGTTGGGTTGAGGCCTGATAATTGGCAGGTCGGCCTTGCTCTGTCGGGGCTGTTACCTTGTAGTAAGAGGGAGGGAGGTGGGCTGACAGTGGCCTCTTCTCCTGGTCACTCCCTGTGGCGACCTGGTGAGTCCCCTTCACCCCCCACCGCACACACACAGGCTTGTCATCTTGAGCATGACAGCCAGGGGCATTGGATCTAACAGCTAAACTGAGCTCCTTGAGGCCTGACCAGTGTTTGTTTTCTCTCTCTCTCTGTCTCTGGCACAATGTCTGAGCCACAGTCCACTTGCTGAATGTACAAATGTGGCCCCCTGCTCTCCAGCCCCCCAGAGGCCCCCCGAGGCACACAGACCATGTCCCTGCCTCGACCCCAAGTGGACCAGCCCTCGCTGCTTCCTGAAAACCTCCAGCTCCTTTCCACCTCTGAGACTTTGCTGGTGCCTTTCTCTCCCCCTGGAATGGAATGCCTGTCTTCCTCTTTTCTGTTCAGCACAGTGCTAGGCTCACAGACAGCACTAAGAAAACATTTGTTCATTGAGTTACTGAAATGGGATGATGATAAGCTTGGGCTGAGGCCCTGTTGGGGGCCTGAAATATCTCTGGGGAAATAGTTGGGGGCACTGGGTTTTCTGGTACTAATTTGCTGTGTGACCTTGGGCAAACTACTTAACCTCCCTGGGCTTCAGTTTCAGCCTCTGTACATCAAATGGCTCTTGGCGGAGTGGTTGCTTGGGTGTCTGTTGGGTGAGTGTGGGTAGGGAAATGTGGTCCAATGCCTACCTTTTGGAAAGCAGAGGGGGTGCCCCAGTGGACTGTTCTGGTGATGTCTGTTGTCCCGTCCCTGTGGAGAAGAGCAATCAACATGTCCAACTCTTCTGAACACCTCGGGGTAGGGATCGTGGCCACGTGCTTCCCGAGTGCTTTCCACTGGGGTTTGAGGGGCAGGGCTGGGATGGGGGTGGGGAGGGAGGTGAAAGGAAGAGGATGGCTGCCATCATGCAATTCCCAAGCTCAGCATCTATGCATGAAGGGGCTCTACAAAGCTATCACATTCAAAATCACTGTTTTCTGAGAGTCCCAATTCCCCACATACATCTTCTACCCCCAATACCAGCCATTTTGGTTGTTTTGTAAATCTGGGTTTCCTTGGGCCAGGCTGGCTCTAAAAGCAAGGCTTCCTCCAGGCTTCCTAGGAGGTAGGAAGGGATGGTCCCATTCTTACAGATGGGGAAACCGAGGTCCAGAGAGATCATAGCACTCTCACACATTCATATACTTAGTTGCCATTTATAGAAGGGAGGGAGGCAGAGCAGACGTCATTATCTCCATTTCACAGGTGAGGCAATTGAGGCCATGAGGCTATCTCCCTCCCTGAGCCTCAGTGAGGCCAGGTCTGGCGCAAGCACTGACTCCGCACAGTTCTCTCCACTGTAAACATGGATCTGCCCCAGGGATTTGCTCAGAGTCCCAGTGAACCGAAGCTGCCAGAAGCCAAAGAGTCTGACTCCCAACCACCAGCTGCAGCCGTTCCCTCAGGATGCCAGCCTCCGGGGGTGGGGGCAGTGAGGAATGATCACAGGGTGTGGTCGACTTCTTCAGAAGGAGAGAAGAGGAAGTGAGATGGCCATTTACCCGGCCTCACCCTGCTGAAGCACGCCCCAATCCAGCAACGCCCCAAGAATTCACTTCCCCTTCGCACACTGGCCATCTCAAGTATACACAGCGCCACACCGGTGACTGTGAAGGCTGCTAGGCTGAGCGCCTGCCAGGCTGGCTCCCAGAGCCCCGTAAAGGCTAAGTGTAGGGCTTTTATCATTAGCACATTCACCTTGCTCCTCCATCAGTTCAGCGTGCCCCTTTCTATCCCCCACTCTAAGTTTCCCACAGTCCACCTGCTTCCTAGATGAGAAGGGAAAATCTTCCAGCCCACCTCAGCTCAGCTCCCATGTGAATGAATGGGCCTAGTCTATTTGTCATGGCTGTCATGTCCAGGTGTTCAGGTTGTGCACTGCACAAAGGTACCACATCTAAAGAAATGCCATTCACTGAATGGGTATATACTAATTTCAATGAGAGCACACAAGTGGACACACAGATTGTGGGGTCCTGGAGCACGGGACAGTGCCCCCCCACCCCCCGGCGCATAACCCTATCTGTGGTTGTGCACACACTCAGAAGAACACGCACATGTCTACTCGCAGACACATCCCCATGCTGATGGGTGTGCCCTGTCCCAACTGTGCTGCAGGTGTCCCCTGAGGTTGCTTCACTCACCTGCCTACTGCTCTTGAAGGCCTGATCCTGCCCCCGCTCCCCATGACATGGTCACCTCGCCGTACAGTGAGGGAAGAGGTGGTGAGGACAATGCATTATGCTGGTGGCATGCGGGACATGTCCAGGGTGTGCATGAGTCGGTGAGAATATGGGCGCTGTGTTTGTGCAGCCAGGCGGGGTTGCTGAGCGTGGCTGTTCGGACTGTGTAATAATGTTCGGGCTTAGAAAACATTTTACTTTCACAAGGGGTGTCTTCCTGATTCTCACAGGGCAGCGCCTGTGGGCATCCCCACTGTTTTGGCCTCTGTCTGTTGCCCATTGGGCAGGGACCCCCACGTGTGAAAATGGGAAGGATACTCAGGCATGTTCAGTCCAGGCCTCTCCTTCCTCAGATGAAGGATCCATGCCCAGGAGGGGAAAGCTTTGGCTGGCTCTTGGCTGAGCTGAGACAGCTGGGCCAGGGCTGGGTGGGGAGTACATACCAGTATTGTCCCCCGGAATCCAGCAGGTACATCTCATCTGAGGACAGCTTGCGGTGCAACTCCTTGGTGGGGCTGGGAAGGGGAGAGACGCTGAGAAAGGAGCAGCCTAACCCTGAGCTGGGTGAGGTGGGGGTCCTGAGTGAAAGCAGAGGAACCTCCTCCACCCTGGGGGCCGGCCTTCCAGCTAACTCCTTTGGGGAAGCCATCATCCCCCAAAGGGCCCTGGGAGACTACTGAGCTTCTGCTGCTGATGTCCTCAGTGCACATCTGTTCATCCTGCACATCTGTTCATCCTGCACCTCCCAGAGCAAGGCCCTGGTCCCCAGGGAGGGGAGAAAGGAAAGAGCCCCGAATGAGGGAGACGGGAGAACTTTAATGAGCACCCAGCTGAGCTATCTCTTTTTACGTCAGGAGAAACAGGTCTGCAGAGAAAGGGCTTACAGAAGGCCCCGAGGGAAAGCTGTGAGGGAGCTGGGCCTGAACCCAGATGCTGAGTCTAGGGATTTCTCTAACTTCTTGCCACCTCTGGGAGCAGAGGGCCCCAAGAAGCCAGGGCACAGGAAGGGAGGGTACCTGAGCGTGGAGCTGGAGAGCAGGAGTTGGTAGGGCTGAGGAGTTCCTACCCTGTTACTCTCTAGTAGGGAGAAGGGGCTGGGCTAAGGCAGCTGAAGGCTTGGGGACACTGGAGGAGGGAATTCTGGGATGGGTCAGGCCAGCCACTGGAGGGTGTCTGCCCTCTCCCTGCTTTGTCCTTGCCAGGCTGAGGCCTCTGGTTGGCTCGACTCCCCACCCCCAAATTGCATCAGGCAGGCCTGCAGGTGTTTGTTTTGTACAGAGCCAAACATCTGGCCAGCCTACATCTTGGGCCCACCTTGGTTGGTTCAGGCAGAGTGAATGGGCCCTTCTCCCCATGTGCTTGTGAGCTTTAAGAATTAAATAACTCACAGGAAGCCAAGGAAAAACATCCAGCAGCAGCCCCACCATCTCCCTTCCAGATCCTTCTGCCCAGAGTGCTCACAAAGTCCCAGCCTCTCGAGCAGGGAAATTATCAAGTCTTTCCATTCAAAGGAGACTCCCAACGCCCGACTGGGCTCCATTCCCCACCTCCAGCCTCCACAATGCCAAAGGCCTCAGAGCTTAAATGTGGACTCAGGCCCTCCACAGAGCCCCAGAAAACTCTTTCTTCTGAAGTACCTGTAATGGGCCAGGGCAGCATTCAGGCCACTAGCAGAGATGGTTTCGAAACTGGATCCGGAGAAGAACTCTTCTTCTCTGGAAAGGACAAGGCAGGAATGATCAATGAATGGGCTCAGGGACTAGGCTGGGCCCAGGATATCCAACAAGGGCAAGGGAAGGTGACGGCTGCCTCTACCTCAGCCGGGCTCCACTCGGCCTTCCCAGTCCCACCTCCTCTCACTTCCCAAGCCCTGACCTGTCACTCATAGACCACTCAAGGTCAGAGAAGCAGAGATTGTAGAGGCCAATTTTTCCTCCTCTACCTCCATTTTATAGATGGGGAAACCAAGGCCTGTGTCCCAAAGTGAGTTCCTAGTAAAGCAAGAGTGAGGAAACCTAGCTCCCTGTATCTGAAAACTCCCTCAACTCCGGAGCAGCATCCTGGGCTAAGTGTGCCCTCAGGGAACCTCCCTCCCCAACCTGATATTCTCAAGTGGTCCAAGGTCCGACCTGGCCTGAGCTGGCCTGAAGCAGACACTAGGGGGCGCTGTTGGGTTGTGGCCCTTCAAGTTGTCCCACTTTCTGCAGAGCTGGGGAATGTCATCCAACACCTCTGCCCAGCTTCCCGACCACGACCACCCAAGAACCTGTCACTCCTTGCTCCAGTGGGGCCCTCAGATACAAGGAGGGTCTTCCTTCCCCCATAAGGAGACCAATGCCCCCTCCCTGCCCCCACCCCCACGTTAAGACAGTCAGCCGATAAGGATGGCTGTGGTCCTTCACCCTCGGAACTTCTCCAGCAGCTCTGCCCCTGAGAACTCATCCACGGTGCCTTTGGGCACGTTCTCCTCCAGCCAGACCAAGTATCGGATCACAGCCACAGCGTCCCGCACCTGCAGCAGGGCAGGCAGAGAGGCGGGCCGAGGAATGGTCTCAGCCGGGGTGTATACATATTGCAATGTATAAATATATCAAGTGACACCTGATACTTACACAATGTTATATGTCAGATAAATATATGTGATGTCAGCTTTTGATAATTGCTATGAATAAAATAATACTGAAGCAAGAGGATGGGGTTGGGTAAGGCAGGGCAGGCATAGTTAAGGAAGGTAGTGAGACCCACTTACTCAGAATAAATGACGCTCTGGAGAATGAATGGAAAATTGAACCACAAAAAGACCTGGGGCTGGGATGAGAAGGGGTGCTGCAAACAGAAACAGCAAATGCTCAGACCCTCAGGCCAGAGCAAACAGCATCCAGGAACCAGCCAAATGGACAGAGTGGCTGGGGGGCGGGGGGGGGGGGGGGACGGACGACGACGACGACGACGACACGACGACTGCTCTGCGAGCTGAGCTTTAAAAACATGAGGGTCTTCCTGGCTATTTGATGATATTAAGGGATTCTTATTAATGTTTATATATATGATCAGAGTGTGGTCATGTTTTGAAAAGAGTTCTTGTCAGAGATACTGAAATGTTGATAGAAGAAACGATATGATAGATGGGATTTGCTTTAAAATCGTCCAGCAGCCGAGGCCACGGGGGAGTGGAGATAATGAATGTAGGGCTGTAGCGGAAATGAGATTGGCCTTGAGTTGATGATTATTGAAGCTGGGTGATGGGGATGGGGATCATTATGCTGCTTCCTCTACTTTTGTATATGCTTAACATTTTCCACAAGAAAAGTCTCCAAAAATGAGGCAATGTATCCTAATTTTAACAGGAATATCCAAAGGGGCAAGCCATCCTCTCCCTGGGGTGAAGGAATTATTATAAGTAACACTTATTTAAGACTTTGAATGTGCCAGGCAGTGCTCAAAGCAATATATTAAAAATATATAATTACATAATTATACTTATATATATAGAACTATATAATCATTATATAAGTATCATATATTTATGTAATTATTATATATTTATATGTACATATTAGATATATAAATGCACATATGTACATATATATATTTATATTATGTATTACAATGAATATATTTAAACGTGCATTATTTATTATATATTATTTATACTATACAATGTAGATATATATCTTTAATCCTCACAACAACCCTCTGCTATGGGTTACAGTTATGATCCTCATTTTACAGAGGAGGTAACTGAGGCCCAGAGAGGTGAAGTGACTTACCTAAGGTCACCCAGCTAGGAGGTGGGTAGAGGAACTAGGATTTGAACTCAGATACCATAGCTCCAGGGCCCAGGCTCTAAACCACTGAACCACCCTGGGAGCAACAGGGTGGAGCACAAGTGGGTGCCCAGGAGTTTGGCGTCCACGTCTCTGATTCACTGAGGGTCTTCTTCAGGCTCCTCCGGCAGGGTCTCCTTTCTAACCCATCACACCGGGAGCTCCCCAGAGGCTCGTGTGTCTGCCTGCCCATGGACTTACATGGCTGGCCCTGAGGAGGGTCTGCTCCTTGCTGTTTTTCACCGCCTTGGTTACCATCACCGGGGAGTAGGTGTCTGCTATGAGTTTCTCCTGTGAGGGGCAGAGAGGAAGCGGTCTGGGAGCCCTCTCTAGGTCACGGTGGTGTTTGAAAAGGATTGGCAGGAAATGCCAGCTCAGATGAGACTTGCCGTCTCCTGGAGTGGCAATGCCCTTCCCGCGTGTGCTTTCTGACTACGCAGGGCTTTCCTAGACTTCCCTTCCAGCCTAACCTTCCCTCTCTCCCTCCCTCCCTCCCTTCCTCCTCCCTCCCTCGTCCTGGATCCCAGCAGCACTCTGGGATGGATCCGAGCCTGGCCCCTGCCAGCCACGGGCTGTTCTGACAGTGTGTTTCCTGCACATCTCATATCATGACAACTACCACTTATTGAGCGCCTGCCATGCGTTAGGCACCGGGCTTTACATGCACTGTCTCCTTTAAATCTCCTCAGAGTGACTCTTTTGAGGTTGTGACTCTTAGTGCCATTTTACAGGTGAGGAAACGGAGGCCGGATTGACTAAGTCACTTGTCCAGGGTCATGGCACAGCCAGTTCTCAGTCTCAGGTTTGGTGACCTCAAAGCCTCTGCTCTACCAGCCTGTACTCCTCCAGCCTCCTTGACAATCTCTGAGCTCTCTGCGGACAGATGTTCTGTCTCTTCCTGGGGAACCCTAGAAAGGGGACTCAGTGCACCACTGCTGACTGACCAACTGCCAGAATGGCCCAGGGGCTGTCCCCCTGCCACCCCCCGTTAGGTTGAGACTTATCAGGGCTCTTGGGGGGTGGGGAGGACGGTGCCTGGCAAACCCACCTTGGGTATCACTTCATAGAGCCCATACGAGGTGTAGCTGGTCCCAATCCAGATCTTCACGGCTCCTGAGGTGTAAGCCTGGACGCTGTCACGGACTTGGCCGTAATCTTCGAGTTGCACACACATGGGACCCGTGCAGCCAGAGTTCAGGTACTGCAGGGTCTCGGAGCTAAAGCGACTCTTGTTTGCAAATAACCTAGGTGGAGAAGGAACACCAGGAGGGTCCAGACAGAATCTAAGGACAGTGCAAAAGCCCAGCGGCCCTTTGTTCCTGGAGGTCAGAGGAGGCCTGCGCCAGGCAGCTGAGCAGACCAGATTTGGAGTATGTGGGAACAGAGGTCAAGGGGGTCAGGAAAAGCTGATCGGAGGCTTCCTCGAGGGTCCTGCTGGGGCAGGCACCCCGCTTCTGGGAAGGCTGCATGTTGGGGCAGTGAGGAAGTCCGTTACCGCAAGCCAAGGACAAGCCCTACCTGATGGAGGAGTCAGTGAGCAGCGTGTAGGAATAGAAGAAGGGGTTATAAGGGATGTCACTGCTGCGAAGGTTGAAGAGCCCTGGGGAAGAGAATTGATGGGGACTATTTGAGGCTGACCTGCCTGACGCAAGTACACATGACACCTTTGCCCTACTGTTGGCTTTGGCCTCCAAGGATCCCCAGCCGCACGCCGGCATCCTCAGCCCCTGAATGTTTCTCAGTCTTTCCGGAGTGGGGGAGGGTCTTTGAAGCACTAATGAGCACTAGGGGCACTTTCTCCCAGAGAAAGGCAGACACCCAGCCAGTAGTCTGCACACGGTGTCGGTGGGTTCCCAGAATACCTGAAGCCCAGAGCTGGGGTCAGGTGAGAAGCGCTGAGCCACGATGGGATAGAACAGGGCTGCACGGGGTGCTAAAGCCGGGAAGCTGAGTGCCCTGGGCTCGTGGCCAGGAGGTTGGGAGGTGTTTGCTGGGCCTCCTCCCCTTCATGAGACAGAAGCCTTTGCTGCTGTGATTTTCCTGGTCCTCTGATGGCCCGGGAGCTGGCCTCAGATTGCACGGGGCTTTCTGGTTTCCTTAGTGAGCAGACGTGAGCTCTTGCCCTCACCTTAGTTCCCGTAGGCCATGACCACGGAGCTCTCAGAACCCATGAGTCAGTGGTCGTTGGGGGAGGAGTCCTGTGCTGCAGAGCCCAGGAGGCTTAGGGGTCGGGGGAAACCCAGGCACCCCCCTGCATCCACAAATCTATACTCACAGGCCGTCTCATCAAGTGCGGACAGAAGCACGGCAGTTGGGGCCTCACGATGCTTCTGCATCTGGCTGCGGATGCCAGATACTTTCTCCTGCCAGCTGCTTCCTAGAAGCAAAAGAGCCAGAAGAAAGCAGTAGTGATCTACCTTCTCTTTGGCACTCCGTTCCTGAGAGGACTCCCTTAGGGCAATGGTTTTCCATTCCTTTAGAAGCAGTAGAGCCCTTTCTTTAACCAAACTCTTACTTGTGTAATCATTAAGGACATGGGCTCTTGACCCAGACTGTCTGGGTTTAAATCCTACCTCTGTCATTACTTGCTGGCTGACCTTGTGAAAATTAGCCCCTCTGTGTCCTATCTTGCACATCTGTAAAATGCGGATGGATTATAATAATAGTGTCTACCTCAATAGAGTTGTTATGAGGTCCGAATTAACTAATATTTGTAATGTATGTAGAATTGTGTCTTGGTGTATAGAAAATCTGGTATAACTTTCTGATTAATAAATAAGCATGCAAAACAGAGATCAGGAGAGCAGCCCTAGTTGAAGGGCAGAGGGATAGGGCTGGGCCATGTCTAATCCTCTTCCTCACAGTAACCCCAGCACTTACTAAAGTCACTTGTGTCTGGGCTAAGCACTTTGTGTACATTGTTTCAATCCTTACTTGGCCCATTTTACAGATAAGGAAATCGAGCCTTCGGAGAGGTAAAGTGACTTATCTATGGTTTTCATAGCTGGCAAGGGGCGGAACTGAGACTTGAACACAGGTCTGTTTGACTACATGGCTCACACTCTTAATCGGTATAGACATTGGACTATCTTGCTAACCCTGTTAGTCTCCAACCTTGTCCATAAACTCTGTCACAGAGCTGTCCTTTCTGGGATGCTTGTATCCTGGTTCTAGGACTTTGGTTTTCATCTCCCCCCCCACCCCCACCCCCGGCTCCCTGTAATCCCTCTAAAGAGTCTGCCCCTAGGCAGGGCTAGGAATTTGCTGGCAGAAGATCATGAGCATTAAGGGTCCTAGTTGGGCTGAGAGATTAGCATAAACAACATAATTCAATTAAAAAAATCTTTATGCAAACAGGTGAAACTGTTCATCAAGAACCAAAGCTTTGGGTGCGATACTTCTTCTAGGTTTATTTTATTTTATTGTGGTAAAATACACATACCGTAAAGTGTTATCATTTTAACCATTTTAAAGTGCACAATTCAGCGCCTTTAAGAACATTCACAGGGCTTCCCTGGTGGCACAGTGGTTAAGAATCCGCCCGCCAATGCAGGAGACACGGGTTCGAGCCCTGGTCTGGGAAGATCCCACATGCCGCGGAGCAACTAAGCCCGTGCGCCACAACTACTGAGCCTGTGCTCTAGAGCCCACGAGCCATAACTACTGAGCCTGTGTGCCACAACTACTGAAGCCCGTGCAGCTAGAGCCTGTGCTCTGCAACAAGAGAAGCCACCGCAATGAGAAGCCTGTGCACCACAATGAAGAGTAGCCCCTGGGCTTCCCTGGTGGCCCAGTGGTTGGGAGTCCGCCTGCCAATGCGGGGGACGCGGGTTCGTGACCCGGTCCGGGAAGATCCCACATGCCGCAGAGCAGCTGGGCCCGTGAGCCATGGCCGCTGGGCCTGCGCACCTGGAGCCTGTGCTCCGTGGCGGGAGGGGCCGCGGCAGTGAGAGGCCCGCGTACCGCAGGAAAAAA